ATTTAGTATATAGATTTTACTCTGCACAATAATCTGTATATTTATTCTTTTCACATTATTATTGTGTCAGCAATAATCCAATATCGACCAACTTCTAATTTGGATCTATTTATATATTGGTACATAAAACAATTTCAATACATATGTATCTATTTAATCAAACATGTTTTGCAGTTACCCTGTTTTTCTGATACGAGTCCTCATTGAAAATGTGTCCCAGTCTGCTTAATTAAGCATTAGTTTGAGATTTTATGGGTTTATGTGTGGACATAATTTCCACTTTTTTAATGTTAGTAATTTATGTTTCACTGTAGCAATGGAAAAATAACTTTATTTTATCAATGGTGTTTAAAGGGGACGCCTGTCACAGAGACCACGGCAGAGTGTGAATGACTCCCGTGGGCCCCATAGGAGACGCTCATGTTCCCGAGAAAGGAAACACAGCCGGAGTCTATCTCATTCTAGGTTAACCTGCACCACCAATATCGGCCTCTTTACACTCATATACTGTTTTGTTCCTACAAAGGACATTTCAGACAAGTGTTGTGTCTCGTACACAGGGACCAAAGGAAGGACAAGGACAGCAAAGCAAGGAAGGACGATGATTGGGAAGAAACAAGGCCACGGGACAAAAAGGGAAGGATGCCTCCCAAAGGCTACAGTGGCTCTAGATGTTCCCACAGTATAAGCAGGTCAGAAGAAAGTGTCCGTATTAAACCTGCAACAGACTTTGCATGTTTAAAATATCACCTACAATGCAAAAAAAAACAATTAAAAATTAGTAAAAAAAGAAAAAAAAAGTTAATGAAATAATAAATTAAAGAAATAAAATAAATTTACACCTGCTCATTCAATTTTTTTTTTTTTTACGAATAATTATTTGTAACCAAAATGATGAAATAAAACAAAGGGAAGTTTGAGAATCATAAAGTGACCAAAGAAGTAAACAATATAGAACTCTCTTATATTTGGGTGGCCACCCTTAAGCCTCGTTCACACCAAGAACGATAACTATAAAGATAACGA